CGCCACTTCCCTGAGTATTATTTTAAAAGAGAAACCAGGAGGTTTTGCTCCATTTCTTGGAGTGAGTCAGTTGATTGAGAAGTTAAACACTCACAATAGGATATTAGGAAACAGGGTAACAGAGAACATTTAATAGTCTAGAAACCTTTTCTAGGCTAAGTGGCTTCAGCTTTACTTGATAAGTCCAAAAAAGTTGTGATTAACTTGAGTGGCTCAGGAAATATCAGGTGCTCTGGATAGGGGCTCTGTAGTTTATTGTGAATTAGTCCAAGGATTTTTCCCTTCCTACTGAAATGTTTTAAATGTCATTTTAAAATACAAATTCCTACCCTAGTGTCTATATTTTAAAGATGAACCCCAATTTTCTGGATGCAATGTGTTATAATGTCTTAACCTTCATTGGCTTCCTGTTGCTTCCTTAGCATGCCATTCAAAGCTCTCTGTAGATGCAGATGCAGGTCTCCTATTATTTCTCTTTTGTCAAGATTGTCATACTCCCCTGAACATGACCTGGGCTTTTCTGCCTTAGTGCTGTCACTTACATTGTTCCCTAGATGTCCTTCTTGTTGTTTCTCTATCTAAATGTTCTGTCACATTCTAACAACACAGCAGGAACATTTCTCGTAGTGGATACATAGTGGTTTCTTTCATCTTTTGAAATCGCAATCGCGATTCTTCCTATTCATGGATCCTGGAAAAAATCCATCGCTGTGTTGTAGCATTTGTTGATCCATATTTTCATTTATCTTTGTTTATATATGCCCACAATCACTTATCTGAACATCTGAGTCATATGTGATTCAGGGTATTAATTTTAAAAAATTATGCATCTAACATCTCAATGGAGCCTTGAGAAACACTCCACAATCAAGTTCCTTCATATTTCCACAATAAAATATGAATGTTTACATGAAGCAAAATGGAGTATAAAATCATTTCACATTAGTTCAAGGTCAGGCTTTGCTACCATGCTAGTTATCAGAAAGCCCTTTCAGTTTTAAGAGCTCTGTGGATTTTTAGGATTATGGAAAGGGATTGTGGACTGATTTACCTAATTATAGCATGAGCTCCTTGAGCCTAAATCTCATTAGTTTTGGCATCAGCCCTACCCCCAAATCCAAACCTCCAAATCACAGATCAAAACAGTACTTACCACAGACTAGATGTCCAGTTAATATTTGCAAAATGGCTAATCCTTCTCAACCTCAGCCCTCAATATTTGGAGCAGTGGATATGAATAGGCCTAAAGTGATAAGGTCCATCCTCCCTAAAGAACCCTTCAATCTGATTTTGACTTCTAATTATTATTTGTTTCATAAGTAGAAGGCAGCCAAAACAAAGCAAATTGGTTATTAGTTCAGATAATAGGAAAATCAAAACAATGTTCCAAAGATATAAGCATTACATAATTCCATGAAGCTCTTGACAACTAGGACCACTGAGTTGATCAGAAGTATCTGTCCATTTTCAAGAAATTGTTGGTTCCTTTTATTTTCAACTCCTTGGCTCTTCCTCAAACAGGCTTCTATATTGAAGATTTTTTTTCTGGGGGAATTGGGGAAAGAGACATCAATAAGCCCCTTTTTGCTTGAAGGTCATTATTCTACTAACACTGGCCATAAAGGTAGGTAGGTGTGACTGAAAGAATATTAGTTGTTAATCATGTGATCTGAGAGCTAGCCTTGGCTTTGACCTTGTCTTTTTCTAAGAAAGGCCAAGTCCTTATAATTGTCTAGGCCTATGAAGTGGGAATGATAACAGCTTTACCAAACTCTAAACTCCACAGCATTCCTGTGACCAAAATAAAAGGGATGATTGCTTCTTTAACTTTCATCACTTTTAAGTGCAAGGTCTTAGCAACATTGGTGATTTCATTCAAAGGCCATCCAGGAGAATTAATCCTTTTAACCATCACTCACTAGATACCAGTTTCCTACCTGTTGAACTCTATTGCTCCTTTCAGTTCATATAGGATGTTTCCTCTATGGAAATTGAATTACCTTTTATTTAGCAACCTACATTTTACAAGATGATCCATACTTTATCTCATTTAATTCTCACAATTTTTATTGTGATTCTCATTTTATAGATAAGGAAACCAAATCAGAGAATAGTAAAACAGACTGGTCTAAGGACAAACAGTTTTTAAGTAACAGACACAAAGATATAATCCATATTGAAATTTCCTGCCCATATAGTGCTTTGGTTAGTTTGTATCTTTGTTTCCTTCCATGTAGTTCTTTTTTTTTACTTTTGGTCACGGGGCTTGAAATCAGGTTCTGGGTTCTGTCCCTAAGGTCTTTTGCTCAAGGCTAGCACTCTGCCACTTTGAGCCACAACACCACTTCTGGTTTTCGGGTGGTTAATTGGAGATAAGAGTCTCACAGACTTTCCTGCCCAGGCTAGTTTGAACTGCAGTCCTCAGATCTCAGCCTCCTGAATAGCTAGGATTACAGGCGTGAGTTACCTGCGCCCCACTTCCCTGTGGTTCTGGATCTCTCTCTCCCTCATTAGATTATGAGCTCTTATAAGATAGGGGCACAGGTCTTCTTACATATTTGACATAAAAGTATTCAATAGATGTTAGAAAATAAAATGAATTTGAAGGGAATAGAGTGGATTGGAAGTGGGAAACTGGTTGGCCTGGGATTTCCAGTCTTGGAGTGCTTTGTTTTTCTAGTGAGTTCCAGTAGGTTAAGCCTAGCCCTTTGAGACCATGACCATAAGAGAGTTGACAGGGATAGTCAGTGTGAGTGATGTCTGTAGTAGGGGAAAGTTTGCTGTTGGGTTTCAGGAGACACTTTGTGAGTATCTGTATAAGCTGATGAACTCTTTGCTAAAAAAAGACTTACTTCCCCTTAAAGAAGTTGCATCTGAATTTCTTTCAGTCTCTGAGAGTGACTCAGAATATTTTTTTAAATTTAACTTAATTTTATTTGTAAACATACTGTACAGAGGGGTTACAATTACATGGGCAGGATAATGCGTACATTTCTTACCAAGCATTGCAGCCTCCTCCTTTGTTTACCCTTGACTCAGAATATTATAAGCACATATATTTCATGTAATTCCCTCTTAAGAAAAATGAAATTTATTGAACGTATTGAAAGGGGGACATAATACCGACAGGAGAAACTTTTTATCATGATATGGAGCAACTATTGACAGGCTTTTCCAGGTCAAGTTACAGAGACTCAGAAGTTAAATGTATTTAAAAATAGTATGATAATCGCTAAAGCAAAGTAAATATTTACTAAACACTTACTGTGTGCCAAGAATTATGGAAAGTTCTTTCAATGTATCAATTTGCTCATTCCTCGCAAAAGCCCTTTACGGTAGCACTACTATGGTCCCTGTTTTACAGATAAAGCAACAGGTTTACAGAGGTTAATCAGTTTGTTCAAAGTTGTAAAGACATAAGTAGATATCTGGGGTTCCAAGTCAGGTGACTGTGATAATCAGATTTTAACCACTATATTTTATGACAATACATTTTAATTATATTTGAAATTAGACCATATGGAAAACAGGCACAGCTTAGGTGCTGAATGAGTATTCACAGTAGAATCTTTTTTAAAATTAATGGTTTTTTATTGTGAAAATACCATACAGAGGGGTTACATAAGCAAGGTAATGAGTACATTTCTTATCAAGCTTTGTTGGTTCCTCCTTTGTTTCCTCTTACCATCCCTGCCCTCTCATCTCCCCACCCCCACGTTGGTATAATTTGTGGAGGAGAAGGGAAAAAACAAATTGTTTAAATAGGGATACAGGTGGCCATATTGCAACAATGAGATGTACAAAACATTATGTAGACTCTTAAATAGTATGGTATATCTCTATCTATCTATCTATCTATCTACCTATCGATCCATGTACCCCAGTTTCTATTTCCCAAGAGTAATAACTGACGAAGTGGTTCTGCAGGAAGTCTCTTTGGAAATTTGCTTCCTTTCATTCTTGAGATTCTGAGACAACTACTCAGTTCCCCTGCTCCCCCAAGTCCAGTACTTGGGTTCATTAGATATACAAGTCTTGAGTGTAAGACTTGGAAGTCCTTGGACTAAAATGCATGCTTCTGTGAGCCAAAGTAAGGCTTCAGATAATCTGAAACTGAGATCATTAGTGAAGCCAAAGAGAAATGTAACTACATTAGCTTGTGTTAAGATTTATTGGTCCATTCTCACCACTTTTTACTTCTTCCATTTTCATCTCCATCAGTAGCTATTGGTTAGTGATGATTTTCAGCTGAGATGGGCAAACTCAGTCCACTAATGGAAGGACTGAGAGGACAGTGGTATCTGCTACACTGAGCCATAATCCCAGCCACTTAGACAGGGAAATTGTTTCTCGAGGTTTTACACTGCCATTTCTGTTCACCCTTTAATGAATGCTTCAAATGAAGCAGAGATGGAAGAAGAAGTGAATAAGTGCTAACATAAATTGCAGTGGGTCAACCACAAATATAGGCTTTCAAAAAAAGTTCTTTTATTTTTATTTTTTTAGTGTGGGTTAAGGTGCTTGCTGATTTTTAAAGTACTTCCTGATTTTGATTAGTATGCGAGATGCATCAAAAATTACTATTGCACACCTTTATTCTGTAACCCATACTTCAAAGTGGAAGACTCTTTTCAAAAACAGATAAAGATCAAACTATAATGTGTGCTTTTCATCATTATGTATCTCTGACTCACCAATTACATACTAGGTAATGGATATTGAAATTGAAATACGTACACTCTGAAAAGCTACAGCTGACCTTTACTTTTAGTTTTTGGCATGAATTTCTTTTTAGGCGTGATTCATTGCTTCAAAGGAAAATTAAAAAATGGCAGGAGAAAATAATTTCAGTTCATATCTTTGTGTAGGCAATGGCTTGTGGCTTTAACGTTTGCACTCCAGTTTTTTTTCATGATCCTGAATCATATTCAGGAGCTAGAATGATGGTAGAGTCCGGCTGACTGTCTTCCCACATTCTATGCATGCTGTTTGCTTTCCAGCTTGGCTTCGGGTCATTCCTTGGAATCATCGGTTCAAACCTTGTGGAAAACAAGCGGCAGATGGTAAGTCTTCATTTATATAGGATCAAATTCTTCTCTAAAAAAGCTCAACTTTCTGTGAATATGTAATCCATCTCTTAAGCTTGTGTAAATTTGTCTACAAAACAAACTGCTACTTTGGTTTCCCCCACACACACACACAAATCCTCCAAAGAACTTATGTTACAGTGAACCCCATACTACCTGGCTGGCCTGACTAGTCCCAAGCCATAGAGATACATTCTTGATCTTGCCCTTTGAAAGAATACTCCAGCTTGTCCTTGTCTGGAGTACTTTTGCTTCAGTGATTTCCATTACTGCAGCCCAGAATTGTTGGTGACTCTCATGTCATCTTTTCTGATACATAATGTTTTGGAAAAGATTTCAGAGGATTACTCCTCTCAAGGGCAAATGGTTTGTACAGTATTTTCACAATAAAAAAATAAAAATGGGCAAATGGTTGCATTTCTTGGGAAGGCTTCTTTGAGAACAAAGGTAGACTGAACTTCAAGTCAATTGCAGTTTTACACTTGTGGTCAGATGGTGGGTTAATTAGATTTCTCTTGTACTCTGTGAGATCAAAATTTTGATAATGAGGTCTATTTAATAACATGTATAAACAGATAATGTAATAGCTCTAGAGCTAGAGAACCCTAACCATATATTTTTCCCCAGCACCATGGCGAATCATTCTCAAGGGAGTTCTAATCTTTTATTTGTTCCATTTTACCTGGATACCCTCCTTTGCCAGTTGTTTTTGCACTTTGCACTTAAATTATTCAAAGTAATGAGAGAGTTTTAATTGTAGAGTGGATCATCGCATAGCTAATAATGCCAATTTTGTGAGATTGTTCATCTATTATTTACCAATTATCTGTAATGCTGTGAAGTGAGATTTATGAGAGATGTTTCTGAACAACTCCCAAAGGAGATACGCATTTACTCCTAGCTTGTTGAAGGGAGAGAACTCTAGTGTGCCCTTGGACTTGATTTCTTCCTTGTCATGGAGAATAGTGTATAGCCAATGTAGTTCCTCTTTCCCCCAAAAAAGTCAAGAAAGAAAACATTCTGTAACCATATAGTTTTAAGAGTTAACAAAAGCAGATGGTGGTCTTAGCACCCTAGGAAATACCTTGAAACACCTATGGGTGACACATTGAGTTGTAGAATAACCTTGGTAATGGAAGACCATCTAATTAGATTAATAAATAAGAACATCTGGTTTGAGGAAACATTTTCTTTCTTTGTTTAAAATCTTTTTTGGGTCTGGTCGTGGGGCCTGAACTCTGGGCCTGGGCACTGTCCCTCAGCTCTTCAGCTCAAGGCTAGCGCTCTACCACTTGAGCCACAGCACCACTTCCGGCTTTTTTCTTTTTGCTTATGTGGTGCTGAGGAATCGAACCCAGGGCCTCAGGCATGCAAGGCAAGCGCTCTACCACTGAGCCACCTTCCCAGCCCCTAGTTTGTTTTTTTTTTTTACATCAGTTCTCAATGTTTTCCCTGGGAATTAGAAATATTAATTCTGCCATTTTTTGTTGCTTATTTGTGTTTTCTTAGTTGTCTTCAATTTTTGATTTCTTAACAGGAATCTCTAGTCCTATTTGTTAGAGCTAGTTTAATTAAACCTAGATCATCTAATCTGGGCATACATAAAATTCCCTGCCATTAAATCTTTGCTGTTTAGAACGTGTCCTCTTCCCCAAGGACAGCTCTCTGATCATCTGATACTCACATTGATGGTGTGTGCTAGTGCCAAGCCATTTATTGAATATTAGGAAACATTTTTTTTCTTATTTTAGATCAACAATAATTGTCAACAGAAATCCTAATGGTTTATTTCTATATTCCAATGGATGGTTTTATCCACCCCTGAGATGCATACAATTAATTTCAGTGATAGTTGTGTAAAAAAACATTTAACAGTCTATCCAACACAGAGAGACCCCGTCTATTTACAGAAAGCCAAAACCAAAACAAACAAAAAACTTTATTTCAGTCTGTATTATTGAACCCCAAAGTTAATTCTAGAAGTTGTACCATATTTTTAATACTAGATAAATGGTTTCCCAGATGTAATTGCTAGAGCATAGGAAGGAATAATTCATTTTTTTAAATGAGGAAAACAAAAAGATCTGACATATTTTTGTTCTCCCTCTCCCTCTCTTTGTCTCTCTGTGTCTCTGTCTTGGTCTCTCTGTCTTCTCTGTTTCTGTCTGCCCCCCCCCCATCTCTGAGTTGGGAAGAAGAAAGGATTAGAGACATGCTTATTACGTAGGTCATCTATTTCATTTGAATCCATTCCACAGTGTGCCTTTCTCTTTGGGAAAGGGGCTCTGGTGTGGGCTGTGCTCCCCTCAAGCTGAAGGCTCTTTTGTAGATTTTGGGCTGGCTTGTCTCCCAACTGAAGGCAAATGTCCCACAGACACCAGTTGATGTTCTGTGTCCTCTGATAAACATGTGCTGTGAGAACTCACCCAGTCCACTTCCTGTGGTGAGGCAAGAATACCTGACATCAGCAGAATTGGATTTTATTTTTAAATGCAAAGGGGAGGGGGAGGAAAGGAGGGGGTAAGAGCATTGGCTTGGAAAGCAATTTATAGGATCTGTATGACTTTGTGTGCTTCAGGTAGCTGCATTAGTAAACTATTTCTGACTGATGAGCAAATGCTCAAGTCAAGATTCAGAATCCCTGTGGGTGAGATTTTTACATCTTATTTAAGAGTACAAATTCCTATTCATGAACAGTGGTTATGAACCTTCTCTGTAGAATGTGACTGTGGGTGGCTAGGTTGGAATAGATTAACAAAGGAATAAGGGCTCATGATTGTGTTATTCAAGCACCCGATGTTCAGCTCATACTGGAGGTTGAAGCACTGGCGGTGTATGTCGTGTGTGTGTTTCATTAAAAGGTAAAATGGAAGTAATAAGAGAACTATCCTAAATGCATGCTATGCTTCTTTGGTTTAACCTTTAAATTTTTTTCTGGAGATTATTTCATTAAATTGAGTTTTAATTATGGAAAGTGAAAGGGAGAAGTTAGCAGAGCGAAAAGTTTAAAAATCCTTTCGACTTTATGGGTCAGATAATGTGACAGTAAATAGAATGAGGACTTCTACCTCTGCAACAATAAATACTTGAGAAGCTAGATTTGTCTAGGAACAGGGTATTTTCACTAATGAATAGCTTGGTTATTAAGGAATTACTTGGAAGCCCATGTAGATTTCTAATCTATGAACAGGAGTGACATGGTGAACCTGTTATCTCACCTATGACCTTACCTTCATAGCCTCGAAAGATTCTGATTCTGATTGGGCCCAACAAATGTGACTTTTTTATGAAATAATCTTTTATTGAAAAAGTAATGTGTGTTCAACTTCCATTTTTGCTCATTCCTCCAGAGGAGTCTTAATTTAGGTGGATCACCAATCACCTGAGGAACTAAAAGACAGTAAAATATGCTTGGCAATAAAACCAAGACTATAACATGGTGCTTTAAGTATCTGCACTGTCAAGCCAGGTGGTTAATGCCTGTAATCCTAGCTACTCAGGAAGCTGAGATCTGAGGATCGAGGTTCAAAGCCAGCCCAGGCAGGAAAGTCCATGAAACTCTTATCTCCAATAAACCACCAGAAAACCAGAAGTGTCACTGTAGCTCAAGTGGTAGAGGTCTAGCCTTGAGCTGAAGAGCTGAGGGACAGCACGCAGGCCCAGAGTTCAAGCCCATGACGGACAAAAAAAAAAATCTGCACTGTCAAATTGGTCACCTTGAATATAAATTACCATTGTATAGAACTGTGAAAAAAATTTACAGCCGAGAAAATTTCTGCTATTTTGAACTCTGGTTATATGTGTTAACAATATATGGAATTTTAGATGTACAAAACAGATAAAATTATGGAGATGTTATTAGGTTAGAAGAAGACTTAATGCACGATTCATTTAAAACAGAATTCTCTTTTTATTTTTTTTATATTTTTAAATTTATTTTATTTTATTTGTGAACATACTGTACAGAGGGGTTACAATTACATGGGCAGGATAATGCGTACATTTCTTACCAA